TCTTAGGTATTTTAAATTAATTCTCTGACCCCTCGGGCGACCGTCGTTTTCCGCCTGAGGCGCGTCCACACAAAGAGGGGCGCCCAACCAGGGTTGTCAAACTCGCGGGTAGACTCGTAAACTCGTACGAGTTTACGAGTCTAGGAAGCAAAAACGAGTAGACTCGCGCATAGAATCATTTTTTGATAGACTCGAGTAGACTCAGGTAGACTCGCATAAACTCGTATAGACTCGCGAGTCTATGATGAGTTTACGAGTTTATAATTTTTTTTGTATTTTGTTTTTTTTAAACCTAAAAAAGGCGTAAATTCTCCAAAATATTTTATTTTATTTTTAAAAACCCCTTATTTTTTTGTTTGTACGAGAATTATAAATTCTTTCTCCTAGTCTCTTGTTTCGACAAGGTTTCTTCCTCCCTTCATCCTTTCATAGACGTGTGTGTTTATTAGGTCTCTTGCTTTATTCACGTTTGTTTTTGTGAGTTAATCATTTGTTGTGTAATTATTTTATAATATGCTTCACTTGAATGTTTCTCTTGTATATTCTCTTGTGTAAAGATGATGAATGGATAATTGAAGATTCTAATGAGGAAAATATGCAAGCTGAAGTTAATGCTGAGTAACATGATGTTATAATTAACAGTGTTGTGGAAGTTGTTGTTTTTGTTAATAATGTTGTGCGAAGTGGTGGTGGTGGTGGAAATATTGAATTAGGTGGAAGTGGAACTTCAAGAAATCCAATTTTGGTTAATGATAAAGAAAGTGTTTCATCCGAGGTAGAATTTGTTGATGATACTCAAGATACCGATGAAGATGATGGTGATGATTTCACTGGAGTTTTGGATGTTTAAAGCCATTATCATATATATTTTATGATTTTGTTTTTTCTTTATATAGTAGTCAATTGAGAAGAAATTAGTACTTTAAGTTTTTAAATACATACTTTGCTATTTTGTTTGTTTTATTATTGATTTTTTTAAAGAAATTTGGAGTATGAAATTTAAATTTTGACGTTAATTGGTATTCTATTATATATAAGTGTAAAGATGACGCATTTATAAGTTTAAAAATACATATGTGTGTCATGTATGTGTCACATATAGGTTTTTGAAAGTTAGTTTTAATTTTTCATAGACTCGTACGAGTTTGCGAGTCGAGTCTGCGAGTCGAGTCTGCAGACCCTTTACAAGTCTGAGTAAACTTGCGAGTTTGACAACCTTGCGCCCAACAAATCTTCGCAAAGTCGGTCAAGGACACCAACTTTGCCATTGACGGCCTTACCATCGCTGTGTAAGCCAGAATAAACTTTGTATCGAGCGAGTATGATGTGATTTTGATCACATCACCAAACCCACAGTTTTGAAGGTAACCCGCTATGCGCTCGTCGTGTGGTATGTAATCATGCACACGACAGCAAAACCTTGATACATCCTGCAAAATAATTAATGTTACGTTAGACAAGAAGTAAAAGACTTATCATTTTACTAGAGCAGATTGTAAATATATCTAAAATTTAAAAACTTACAAACTCTGCAACATTTTCAGCCGTGCCTCTATGAGAGTCGCCCATGGTGAGTAAAGACATTTTCGTTTGAGTTGTTGAGGTGTAGAGATGTTGAGTTGAGAGTTGAGAGTTTGAGACACTAGAAAGTTTGGGGGTTGAGAGTTTGAGACTTAGAGAGTTTGAGACTTAGAGAGTTTGGGGTTTGAGAGTTTTTTACAGTTTAGAGAATTCGGGAGTTTGAGACTTAGAGATTTTGAGGGTTTGAGAGTTTGATTGTTTGAGACTTAGAGAGTGTGAGCAGAGTTTGCTGGGCAAAGACCCTATATTTATAGTCCACGAGAGTGTGTGTTGTAAATGCATGTTAGATAAGTGTCATTGATTGTGAAGCATGCGTGACAAGTGAAAGGCAGAGATTCCTGATGCATGTCATTGATTGTGAAGCATGCGTGACAAGTGAAAGGCAGAGATTCCTGATGCGTGTCATTGATTGTGAAGCATGCGTGACAAGTGAAAGGCAGAGATTCCTGATGCGTGTCATTGATTCATGCGTGACAAGTGAAAGGCAGAGATTCCTGATGCAGGATCACATGTGAAAGCAGAACTTTGCATTGTCACGTCTTATCAAGTGTCCTGTTCAAGTCCTAATGCATGTCATTGTTTGTGAAACATGCGTGACAAGTGTCCTGGTGCATGCAGAAAGAGAATCTCGTAGGCCTGCATGCATGGTCAATGTAGGCATGCAGGAACACATGTGACTGCAGAACTTTGCATTGTCCCGTCTTATCAAGTGTCCTGTTCAAGTCCTAATGCATGTCATTGATTGTGAAGCATGCGTGACAAGTGTCCTGGTGCATGCAGAAAGAGAATCTCGTAGGCCTGCATGCATGGTCAATGTAGGCATGCAAGTGCACATGTGACTGCAGAACTTTGCATTGTCCCGTCTTATCAAGTGTCCTATTCAAGTCCAGATGCATGTCATTGCTTGTGAAGCATGCGTGACAAGTGTCCTGGTGCATGCAAAAAAGAGAATCTCGTAGGCCTGCATGCATGGTCATTGATTCGCAGGGTCACATGTGAAAATTACAGATTCATTTACTGTCCTGTATGTTCAAGTCCTGATGCATGTCATTGATTGTGAAGCATGCTGCAAGTAAATTTAAGTGAAATACATGTAAAAAATATTTAAACTCTTTAAACAATCAAACACTCAGACTATTTAATAAAGTCTTTAAACTATTTAAACACTCAAACACTCAACTCTCAAACTGTCATACACTCAAACACTCAATTACTCAAACACTCAAACACTTAATCACTCAAACACTCAATCACTCAAACACTCAAACACTCAATAACTGCCTTGGTAAAGGCAACCTATTTTAGGCTAGGATCACTCTTTGATAGCAGACGTACGAAGTGGGGTTCGGTATTACAATCAGGTCAGCTGTACAACGATACTTCAATGAAATTTATGAAAGAGGAAGCTGCCAAGGCCAACACACACGTGGTGACAATCTTCGACCGTACAACTGGTCGGTTCAGTGTTGCCGAGTCTATGGATCACAACGAAGGAAGGCCGAGGGGATGTTACCGTGTTGAATTGGATAAGAGCTGGTGTGATTGTGGAAAGTTTCAAGCATTTTGTATGCCTTGCTCTCATGTCATAGCAGCATGTTCGAAGTTGCGCCAGGACCCAACCAACCTTCTTTCTGCAGTTCACCAAGTCATTAGTCTATGCAATGTCTACGCATGCAGCTTTTAAGTGGTGGCAAAGGAGGACTATTGGCCTCAATACGAAGGAAAAATTGTTTGGCTTAATGACTTGATGCGCAGACAGAAAAAGGGTCGGCCTAACAGCACGCGCATTCGAACTGAGATGGATACCGCAGACAAGCTGGTGAGATTGTGTAGTTCGTGTCGGCAACCAGGACACAATCAAACAAAATGTCCTAACGTAGGATCAAGCAGCAGATCATAGTTTCAAATGTAATCTCTTCCCGTTAAATCAATATCAACTTTCATTCGATTAATAACAACTTTTATTCCATTAATAGAAAATTTCATTAGAATAATACCAAGTTTCAATCAATTAAAAGCATACTTAACTGACATAACAACAACATGAAAACAGAACACTGCACCAAGGCAACATAAATTAAACAAACATAACAACAACGTAAAGACTTAAAGCATAACACTGCACCAAGGCGTCTACGATATCACGACCATCAACTTTATCTTCCTTGGTGTCAACATCATCACAAGGACACCGACATCATTTTCCACTTTTCTCCATTCACGAGTCACTCACTCCGTTTCTCTTGGTCTCTTTGACTAGCCTCTCGATTTTCCTAATCTTTTCTCCTGGGGCAATATCTCCTTCTAGCCAGCGGTTCAGTTCCCTATGCAAGTGCTCCAACGTCTGCGTATTCCACAAGAACACCTTCATCGGAGGCTTGGTTGCTGAAAACACAACTACGACGTTTCTTTTCATTAGATCGAACTCTGGAAACGGTTCCTCCGATTCTGATGACAACTACGAAGAACGTTGATTTAGAAATGCAGACATTCTAGACTTCACTCCTCTCAAAATGCACGTAGTCTTTTGGTATACAATGTTGTGAAAACATATATGTGTTTATAGTTGTATTTATAGAAAAATACAATATTACGTGCCCCATATGAAATGTCTTAAATACCCTTACAAAATTTATTCACCTTATAATTCAATGGTTAATCAATTTTTACATTTTAAAATTTATAATTTAAATCAATTTATACGCTTTTAAATAATTTATAATTTAAACACCTTAAATCTTTATTTTAAATAATTATTTAAATTTATTAAATTTTCTTTTTTATAATTACTTAAATTTATTAAAATCTTTATTTTAATTAATTATTTAAATTTATTAAAATCTTTATTTTAAATATAAACAAAATTAAAATTAAAAAATAAACGAAAATTGGAAAACCCTATTTAGCCTCCTTCTGCAGTTGGAAGGGCGAAATGGTTTGGGCCCAAAATCATTTGTCCAATTTCGCCAATTCTATTGGCGAGTTTCTTCAAATGCATTTAGCCAATTTCGCCAATTGGATTGACGACCGTCTATTAAATGCCAGTTGTTTTGATAAATATTTTAAAACATTAGTCTTCGTGAAAAATAGAAAACAATACTGGGTTATTGAAAAAAAAAAATTCTCATAATTACTTATTTCATTTGAATAAATAAATATATAAATTATTGTGTATAAAATAAAACTAGTACAATCTGTTTGAGACAAATAATTGCTGTTTCGTTGATGGTTCGTGCATTTGTTTGGTCCATCATCTCTTAGATCTGTCACAACAACGCCAACATCTATCTTTCTCTTCCTCTTCAGATCACACACAGGTACTCTCGCTCTTCAGATCAATCATCACATCGCTTTCTTAACCATGTCTTAATTCTCGGTTGTATTTCTCTTTGTGAAGGCTTCTTGCTTCAAGTATCAGAATGGGCGCGGCTAAAAACGTTCACGATGATGATGGAACCTTGGAGATTGGAATGGGTCAGTTTCCTTTTTACCCTTATCGTTTTTCTTGTTAGTTTTTTCAATTGCTTTTGTGATTTTGGAGACAGTTTTTTTTTTAAGGTTTTTGGAATTTGGATTGATCAATTTTTGGAGTTAATAGATTGTTGAATGGTTTGATTGTGCTGTGCAGAATATAGAACTGTTTCTGGGGTTGCTGGACCATTGGTTATTCTCGAAAAAGTTAAGGTAATGACTATATATTATACTGTCTCTTTGATATATATATATATGCTTGCTCGCTGCATATTCTAGAATTTTGATGTTTTCTCAATAATGGGGATGTAATTTTTTGTGTATATTGTGACTGAATTTCGTAATGATTAATTGATTCAGGGACCTAAGTATCAAGAGATTGTTAATATTCGTTTAGGAGATGGAACTACTAGGCGCGGCCAAGTTCTAGAAGTTGATGGTGAAAAAGCTGTTGTTCAGGTGAGTGAGTGTCTACTACCTGATCCTTAATCATATGTAGTTGCATATATCATCAGGGCCCGTCATTGAGCACTTGCAAGGTGGGTACCGTACATGGTCTAAAATTTGTCACAATTAAACTGTGTCCAAATAGGGCGTAAAATGTCTGTCACGATTAAACCGTGGTTAAATAGGGTCTTTGTTTGTTTTGTCATTGTTAAACTACAACTAATCTACACAGGGTCTCCAAAAACTTGAGACGCCTCTGTATATCCATATTTGCGCTTATCTTTGACATATAACCAAAATTTATAAGATTTTGATGTTGTTTCTCAGGTTTTATAAGTTGATAAGGAAAAACCTTTTGGTGCTGTCTTTACTTTGTTAATAATGTTGTATCGACTCTGATAGCAAAAACTTGGCTTATGCTAATTTATCTTTTGGTATCATTGCCTAGGTTTTTGAGGGTACATCTGGGATTGACAATAAATTCACAACTGTGCAATTTACTGGAGAGGTATAAACTGCTTGTTTCTTTTACTTGTATATTATATTTTAAAAATATGCATGTGAATGATCTTGTGAATAATTTCCTGGATACCACCGTATGTGTATGTAAAGCCATTCCTACCACGATTCAAAATAGTCTCTAACTTAATATGATTACTTTTTACCTCCTACCAATTTATCCTCAAGTATCGGTTATTGAATTCTCTTTCATTTTGATTCACTGACTTGCTGTGAGTAATTTCAATTGTTGAATCACATTTTTCAGGTGTTAAAAACTCCTGTATCACTGGACATGCTTGGCCGCATTTTTAACGGTTCAGGAAAACCAATTGATAATGGTCCACCCATATTACCTGAGGCTTACTTGGATATATCAGGTATATAATTTGTTTTAGAGAGGTTTAAACCAGCAGGTTTATTTTCATCTGTTTTAATATTTTTCTGACAATTCAGGTAGTTCCATCAACCCTAGTGAGAGAACCTATCCAGAAGAGATGATTCAGACAGGAATATCTACAATTGATGTCATGAATTCTATTGCTAGAGGTCAAAAGATCCCTCTCTTCTCAGCTGCTGGTCTCCCCCATAATGAAATTGCTGCACAGATATGTCGCCAGGCTGGCTTAGTCAAGCGACTAGAGAAATCCGATAATCTTCTCGAGGTATTGTGGATGCACTAAAGTAAATTTACTTGCACATTCCTGAAACACGAGCTTTGAACAATGCAACTTGTGTTCCATATCTTCCTTCATTTTTGGGTGTTTATTTATTTTGGGTGTTTATTTCTGGCTAAGGCAATATGGGAATTTGTATTAATCAGCTATAGTTTTTTAGGGCCCAAAGAAAAGTGGCATATTTCTGCTAGTGTTTTGCTTTTTTTATTTTTTATATTTTTTATTTTTATCAGTGTTAAGTAGCGGCACTTTAGGACTATAGTGTAGATTAATTTGAACAAATTACAATTATTCAGCGATTACTTATTTAGTACAAAATGTTGTCAAATAGCAGCTAGAGCAGCGCTATAAGACTGCTGCGCTATGGAATTTGAGCAAACCGCAATTTAATGCTCATTGCACATGCATCACTTTTATTTCAGGTTTTGTTACAGTGAGAGAGTAACTCCTAGTTTTTAGTTGTGATTAATTCCTAAACACATCAAATTAATTCGTAATGGGGTGCTTTTGAATCAGCTTATTTTTTCTGAATTTATTCCAAAATATAGTATTAAACAGGAAAGATAATATACAACTTCTGACTTCTCAACATCATATTAAGAAGAAATTGACATAATTTACTTGAAATGGCATTACTTTTTTGGTTTGGGGCTTACAAATGATCAATGTTTTCTATTGCCTTCAAGTAAATGTAGCTATTTTCTGCTTATTTTTTGTATTTGAACACACATTACTTTTACACTACGTAAGATTAATGCAGGTTTTCTAACTGAAATTTTCAATATGTACAGGGTGGAGAAGACGACAATTTTGCTATTGTGTTTGCAGCCATGGGAGTTAACATGGAGACTGCACAGTTTTTCAAACGTGACTTTGAAGAGAATGGCTCTATGGAGAGAGTGACCCTTTTCCTTAATCTGGTAATCTTTAGAATCAGTATGCAAGTGTTCTATTATTTTCATTGGTTTTTTCTATTGCCGTCCTATTATGTTTGATTTCTTTATGTGCATGGAGATCTGATACTTAAGATGCTTGTTCTTTTTCTGCCATGATATATTGCAGGCAAATGATCCTACAATTGAGCGTATCATCACTCCTCGTATTGCTCTTACCACTGCTGAATATTTGGCATATGAATGCGGCAAGCATGTTCTTGTGATACTCACAGATATGAGTTCTTATGCTGATGCTCTTCGTGAGGTAATATACCTTCAACTATAATTTGTTTGTCTACAAGAAATGCCTGAAACAATTTGGTTGTCAATGAGACTATTGATCACTTCTGAATTCTGTAGGTATCTGCTGCCCGTGAAGAAGTGCCTGGTAGACGTGGATATCCTGGTTACATGTATACAGATCTTGCAACAATATATGAACGTGCTGGAAGAATCGAGGGGCGAAAAGGCTCTATCACGCAAATTCCAATTCTAACCATGCCTAATGATGGTAATGAAATATATTATTAAACCTTTTCAGCTCTCTTGCATAATGCACTCTTAATCATGTCTGATTATCTTTATTGAACGTCTTACACAGATATTACACATCCAACTCCTGATCTTACTGGATATATCACTGAGGGGCAGATATATATTGACAGGCAGCTGCATAACAGGCAGGTCAGTTATATCGAACGTTCTGGCTGTTATAATTTTCGTTCGCATTGTTTGAAATTTGTATCATGTTCGTTCAGACCGAAACTAAAGACATGATTCCTTTTTTGTTTGTTTTGAACAGATATATCCACCAATCAACGTTCTTCCATCACTCTCACGTTTAATGAAGGTGAGGTTAATCTTGTCTGCTTGATGTCACAAGATGCCATCAATTGATAATTCTCCCCGAAATTTATCATAATTCCGGCCTTGTCTAGCAAAAGTCAAATTGTTCTCTTCAATTAAAAATTATGAGGTTTTATTATATTGTTGTTATGCATCATGGTTGCTGTTACTTCTGCAGAGTGCCATTGGGGAGGGAATGACACGAAAGGATCACTCTGATGTGTCCAACCAGGTCTTCTTATTTACGTCTTTTATGTTTTTGTTTATCATATTGCAAATTTTCCATCTCTAAACTATCTCATTGGCGGCGTCCTTATGTTTTTCTCCAGCTCTATGCAAATTATGCCATTGGAAAAGATGTCCAAGCAATGAAAGCTGTGGTCGGAGAAGAAGCACTTTCGTCTGAGGATCTGGTCTCTAATATTTTCCCTCTACGGATAATTTCTTTTTATTGTACCAAAGTTAATCTTGAAGTAACGACATTAATTAATTTCTTTTTTTATTCGCAGCTGTATCTGGAATTTCTAGACAAGTTTGAGAGGAAGTTTGTTGCGCAAGGAGCTTATGATACCCGAAACATCTTCCAGTCTCTAGATCTTGCATGGACTCTGCTTCGTATTTTCCCTCGTGAGCTTCTTCACCGTATACCAGCAAAGACACTCGATCAATTCTACAGTCGAGACGCCGGAAACTGATTATACATTCAGCAAGCAAAATATACCTTAGTCACATGCTCAATCAGTTTGTAATGATCATGGTGATTGATTCATTTCTTCTCTTCCTCATTCAACACTTCATATTTATTCTATTCAGCACACATGTTACATATAATAAAGGTTTGAGTGCCTATTATTTTGATTTCCTCATCTAGTGAAGACCCTATAGATACTTTATTTCATGTGCCAATTTTTCTTCCTTAGGTGGTGAGGATTTTGGTTACAATCAATTTGGGATAGTGTTAATGGCATTGTGGAATAATCAGTGCTGTAGGTGTTTTTATGATTTACCTGATAATTTGATTATTGAGCATATTCTAATCAGGAGGCCATTTTGTTACTTTTAGCTTTGTTGATCTTAAACTTTGATCTTAATCTCGGCGATTTATGAGCTCATAACATCACAACTCTGACTTCGAGGGATTTTGAAATGAGCCTGTCCGTCAAGCCCGATAAAATATAGGGTTTGAGTATTTAAATTAGAGCCAGGATTTAATAAGGACTTTTTAGTCCGGTCTTATTAAAAATTCTGCTTGTCCATTTGACCCTAATAACCAAAAAATTTAAAATTATGTTAATATTTGTGTTGTTTCATCCGGAAACAAAATATTGAGTTTTCTTGCCTCAAAATTTATATCTTCTATTATATTTAATATTTTTAGGTTAAATATTATTCATTAATACAATGGAAAAATATAAAATTCTAAGTTTCATTTAATAACTATCACGTTTTATTAGGTTGTATTATGTTTTAGGGTTAAATATGTTTTTAGCTATAATTGGATTATATTTTTGGTTCTTATAAAAAAAATAGCGTGTTTTAATTCTTATAAAATAATTATTTTAGTCTTTATGTTAAACTAAAGTGTATTTTTGAATGATTATTTTGCATATATGTTTAGAATGTTATAAAAGGTTCTTTAGAAAAAAAAATTAAAATTTAATTTAAAAGTCGAGATTTTTATTATTTTTATCATTATCTTTTAAAATTTAAAAAATTCATATTTAATTCTTCTCATTTAAAATAATTATATAATTTGGTAAAAAAGATATTTTATTATAATCTGAACACGTATGAAAAAGATTATTCAAAAATTTAAAAGTTTAGGGATAATTAAATAGTTTTCAAAATTTTAGAAATTAGCAAGGACTAAAACTGTATGCATAAAATTTTTGTAGGGATTAAAATATGTTCTTTTTTTTTATAGGGACTATAAATGAATTGTGAGATATTTATAGGGACCAAAAACATATTTAACCCTATGTTTTATATACTATTTTGAATAATCAAACTCGTGTAGTATTTAAAAACATGTTATAGTCAATAGTTCAAAGCATGTTGATCTATCCCTTTCATATTTACCAGTGGCCGACAAAGGTGTTGTCCAAACTGGATAATTGGTTCTATAATTTTATTTGAAATTGTGATATCCTTATTCGAAATATTTGTACGTTGTTTAGAAAGATGTATGCAAACCGTGGATCAAGGTAGGCTGGGTATCAGATAGACTAATCAGATGAATGAGGCACTTACTCTGAACCTGATCTGAAGGTTTATTTCATCCATTGAGAAATGAACTACAATTTATAGAGCTAGATTTTTGGCAAATAATCGCTCGAAGAGATAACATATCAAGTTTTCCACTTGGACATGTATTAGTCAACATTATGAGATGGTGTTGAAAGACTCTAGATGAGTTATATGCATTGGCGACAAGATAAACTTTTGGAACCACAACTGGTTAGGGGAACTATTCAGTCAGATTATGAACATTCCGCTACAGATGAGACATAAACTGACTACTAGAGCTTGTGACCTGATTGAGAGTGGTAAATGGATTATACTAAATTATATACCAAATACTCACTCGTATATAACTTTCTCTATATGACTCAAATATTACCTACAGACTATAATCTTCAGGATCTCTTAGTCTAGAAATAAGCTACCCATGACGTCCCTACCAATGAAAGAGGCACACGAGTTCCTAGTGGAGCCATATGCTCCGCTAGAATGGGAAAACATGATTTGGCAAGCCTTTATTCTCCCACTAGTGTCCTTCATGTGGTGGAGACATTTTCACAAAAAACTTCCAAGTGATGTGAACTTGCAGAAGCGGAGGTGTAATTTGGCCTCAATGTGCGACTTGTGTAATAAGCACACAGAGACTTCGACTCACATCTTGTTTGGGTGTCAGTTCACGATGTTCATTTGGACATAAATTACTTACCAAAATCTGTGGAGGTCTCTTACAGATGACTAATCTAGTGTGACATCCCAAACTCAAAAATACAACTTTGACGGCTTAGGCACACACCATCCACCAAATCTGGCTAGCCAAGAATGAGACGCGTTTCAACAATATGACACTTAGTGTCCAGCCGATTGTGGGGACCATTTTGGAAAATATTAAAATGAGCTCCCCTCTTTTAAAGGGTGGGATAACATAAAGCCATATAGAGCTTGACATTTTGAACAAACTACATATTGAGAGCTTGACATTTTGAACAAACTACATATTGAGGGTTTATATAGAAGGACGCCTTGTATTATTACTGTCATTTGACAAAAACCAAATCTGGAATGGACGAAAATTAACACAAATGACTCGGTTTGTGACAACTTAGGTGTAGGTGACGCTATTGCAAGGGATCACCAGAGTAATTTCCATGGTGTTTTTTTGGTTAATTTAGAGTCGGGTAATGTGTTGCATGTCGAACTTCTCTCTATTATGATAGCGTTGGAAAATGCGATGATCAAAGGCTGGTCCAAAATATGGATAGAAGCAAACTCGCTAGGAGCTCTCTATTGCATCAGAAACGAGTCTCAAATACCTTGGGAACTCTAAAACCGATGGAATAATTGCAAGAACCTCTGACTTCTTAAAATTTTCATTCATATATACAGAGAAGGTAATAAGTGTGCATATAGGCTCACTAACTATGGTCATGCATTGATAAACTTCAATGGTAGAATTTAGCTCCTCATTTCATTTTAAAAAATTTCGTTAAGGATGAGTTAAACTCTCTAATTTTTGTTTACTTAATTTTGTCGAAAGACGGGGAGATGGGAAACATTTTGGTAGGTTGCTCAATTCTGGTTTGATTTAACTTTTATTTTAAAAATTATTTTATTGTTATTTTATCTTATGGCTATTTTTAGATAGGTCTAGGTCTAGGTCTAATCTCATATATATATATATATATATATATATATATATATATATATATATATATATATATATATATATATATATATATATATATATATATATATATATATATATATATATATATATATATATATATATATATATATATATATATATATATATATATATATATATATATATATATATATATATATATATATATATATATATATATATATATATATATATATGATATTAAAAAAAAAAAGAGTTTAAAATTAGATATTACACAACACGTCTAAGAGTAGACTCAAACATTATAATTCAAAATTATATTATAATATAATTTTTTGACTCGACTCTATAAAACCAGAATTTGTAAAGGTCGCCTTGTTTAAGGTCAAATAGTTTTATAATATTAACTAGAGTATTATTTATAATATTAATAATAATAAATGAGTCTAAAATTGGATATTACACAACATTTCTAAAATTAAAATCAAGTATTATAATTTAAAATTATATTATAATATAACTTTTTGATCCGACTCTATAAAGTCAGAATTTGTCAAAGTCACCTTGTCTAAGGTCAAATAGTTGATTTTCACTCTAGTTATCACAACTCAAAAGCCATTTAAAAGTCTTCTTAATCATTATCAACTTTGAAATAGAAACTTTATGAAAATGCAATGAACATAAAAACACTTGTACTATTAGTATTAGGTTTAGCGTAAATTATAAAATGTATGATGTTTAAAAGTTGACAGTAATGATTGTAAACTAGCTGGCTGAAATGATGCTGAAAGTTATGAACAGAGGTGGCCATATTTTAAAATATATTAGAGTGCAACATATATTAATATTTTAGGAGAAGAGAATCCATGTTTTCAAAAAATAATGTAATTTGAGCATTATTTAAAGAAGAAACATAAAACCTATATAGTCGATCTATTTGTTAAATATACACCACGGGTAACTATATAACATATAGTTTTTTTTCTATAAAAATAATAGCCACATTATTATATTCTTTGCAACTGAGATTGTGATGGGATAGTGAAAACAAAAGTTGTTTTTTTTCTTTACACAGATGGTGAAAACAAAAGATAGCTAGAAAAAGAACAGCCATTTACTACACACATTTGTTTGTTTTAGAAATTGTCGATGTGTTTAATTTTTTTAACGTTAAAGTTGACCAATAGAAAAACTAACTTTCTACTATGTGTGACCAGATTACATAAGAGCTTTACCAAATAGAAAAACAATATTGCCTGATCAAATTAAAAAAAAAACTATTTTCTTTATTGAGAGCTACCTAACTTAATTACACATTATTGATCTTAAAATAAAATAAAAAAATTAAAGAAAACTTGTATAAATTTCAACTTATTTGATGTTTTTAAAAATTACTATTTTACATCAAACATTAAAATTCTTTACTTTTTAATTTACTTTAATATTTTTCTTCTTCTATAATACTTATGATATATTTTCCTTCGTTCCTTTGTCATCATTAAAAAACTATTATATCTGTTAAATACATAGAGCTACATTCTCACATTTTTAATGATGACAAAATATCTTTTAAGGAGATTATCTTTGGCTTAAATTCCTAGCTTTCGAGTTTAGGGGCCTTGGTAATCACCTGATTTTCTTAGATTGAACTGCGGTTCTTCGATGGTTTGGGAAAAGGTTGTTAGGAACGTTAGGAAAGGTAGTCATGGTAGTTTCTCAGTATGGAAGGAGAACAGAGGTAAAGGAGATATTAATGGTGATAATACGACATCTTTCTTTGTTACTGCATTCCCAGAAAAGTTAAACGCTAAA